GTGTCTTCTTCAATTTCTTTCATGAGTATTTTATAGTTTTCTGAGTACAGATCCTTTGCCTCTTTGGTTAAATTTATATCTAGGTATCTTATGGTTTTGGGTGCAATTGTAAATGGGATCGACTCCGTGATTTGTCTCTCTTCTGTCTTGTTGTTGGTGTATAGGAATGCCACTGATTTCTGTGCATTGATTTTATATCCTGCCCCTTTACTGAATTCCTGTATGAGTTCTAGCAGTTTTGGGGTGGAGTCTTTTGGGTTTTCCACATACAGTATCATATCATCTGCAAAGAGTGAGAGTTTGACTTCCTCTTTGCCGATTTGGGTGCCTTTGATTTCTTTTTGTTGTCTGATTGCTGTGGCTAGGACTTCTAATACTACGTTGAATAGCAGTGGTGATAGTGGACATCCCTGCCACGTTCCTGACCGTAGGGGAAAAGCATTCAGCTTTTCCCCATTGAGAATGATATTCGCTATAGGTTTTTCATAGATGGCTTTTATGATATTGAGGTATGTACCCTCTATCCCTATACTCTGAAGAGTTTTGATCAAGAAAGGATGCTGTACTTTGTCAAATGCTTTTTCTGCATCTCTTGAGAGGATCATATGATTCTTGTTCTTTCTTTTGTTAATGTATTGTATCACGTTGATTGATTTGCGGATGTTGAACCAACCTTGCAGCCCAGGGATAAATCCCACTTGGTCGTGGTGAAGAATCCTTTTAATGTACTGTCGGATCCTATTGGCTAGTATTTTGGTGAGAATTTTTGCATCCATGTTCATCAAGGATATTGGTCTGTCATTCTCCTTTTTGATGGGGTCTTTGTCTGGTTTTGGGATCAAGGTAATGGTGGCCTCATAAAATGAGTTTGGAAGTTTTCCTTCCATTTCTATTTTTTGGAACAGTTTCAGGAGAATAGGTATTAATTCTTCTTTAAATGTCTGATAGAATTCCCCTGGGAAGCCCTCTGGCCCTGGGCTTTTGTTTGTTGGGAGATTTTTGATGACTGCTTCAATTTCCTTAGTGGTTATAGGTCTCTTCAGGATACCTATTTCTTCCTGGTTCAGTTTTGGTAGTTGATACATCTCTAGGAATGCACCCATTTCTTCCAGGTTATCTAATTTGCTGGCATAGAGTTGCTCATAATATGTTCTTATAATTGTTTGTATTTCTTTGGTGTTGGTTGTGATCGCTCCTCTTTCATTCATGATTTTGTTGATTTGGGTCATTTCTCTTTTCTTTTTGATAAGTCTGGCCAGGGGTTTATCAATCTTGATAAATTCTTTCAAAGAACCAGCTCCTAGTTTCGTTAATCTGTTCTACTGTTTTTTGGTTTCTATTTCATTGATTTCTGCTCTTATCTTTATTATTTCTCTTCTCCTGCTGGGTTTAGGCTTTATTTGCTGTTCTTTCTCCTGCTCCTTTAGGTGTAGGGTTAGGTTGTGTATTTGAGACCTTTCTTGTTTCTTGAGAAAGGCTTCTATTGCTATATACTTTCCTCTCAGGACTGCCTTTGCTGTATCTCAAAGATTTTGAACCGTTGTATTTTCATTTTCATTGGTTTCCATGAATTTTTAAATTCTTCTTTAATTTCCTGGTTGACCCATTCATTCTTTAGTAGGATGCCCTTTAGCCTCCATGTATTTGAGTTCTTTCCGACTTTCCTCTTGTGATTGAGTTCTAGTTTCAAAGCCTTGTGGTCTGAAAATATGCAGGGAATAATCCCAATCTTTTGGTACCAGTTGAGACCTGATTTGTGACCTAGGATGTGATCAATTCTGGAGAATATTCCATGGGCACTAGAGAAGAATGTGTATTCTGTTGCTTTGGGATGGAATGTTCTGAATATGTCTGTGAAGTCCATTTGGTCCAGTGTGTCGTTTAAAGTCTTTATGTCCTTGTTGATCTTTTGCTTAGATGATCTGTCCATTTCAGTCAGGGGGGTGTTAAAGTCCCCCACTATTATTGTATTGCTGTCAGTGTGTTTGCTTTTGTTATTAATTGGCTTATATAATTGGCTGCTCCCATGTTAGGGGCATAGATATTTACAATTGTTGGATCTTCTTGTTGGGTAGACCCTTTAAGTAGGATATAGTGTCTTTCTTCATCTCTTATTACAGTCTTTGTTTTAAAATCTAATTTGTCTGATATAAGGATTGCCACCCCAGCTTTCTTTTGGTGTCCATTAGCATGGTAAATGGTTTTCCACCCCCTCACTTTCAATCTGGGGGTGTCTTTGGGTCTAAAACGAGTCTCTTGCAGACAGCGTATCGATGGGTCTTGTTTTTTAATCCAATCTGACAGCCTGTGTCTTTTGATTGGGGCATTTAGCCCATTTACATTCAGGGTAACTATTGAAAGGTATGAATTTAGTGCCATTGTATTGCCTGTAAGGTGACTGTTACTGTATATTGTCTGTGTTCCTTTCTGATCTATGCTGCTTTTAGGCTCTCTCTTTGCTTAGCGGACCCCTTTCAATATTTCTTGGAGGGCTGGTTTCGTGTTTGCAAATTCCTTTAGTTTTTGTTTGTCCTGGAAGCTTTTTATTTCTCCTTCTATTTTCAATGTTAGCCTAGCTGGATATAGTATTCTTGGCTGCATATTTTTCTCGTTTAGTGCTCTGAAGATATCATGCCAGTCCTTTCTGGCCTGCCAGGTCTCTGTGGATAGATCTGTTGCCAGTCTAATGTTTCTACCATTGTAGGTTACATATCTCTTGTCCCGAGCTGCTTTCAGGATTTTCTCTTTGTCTCCGGGATTCGTAAGTTTTACTATTAGATGTCGGGGTGTTGACCTATTTTTATTGATTTTGAGAGGGGTTCTCTGTGCCTCCTGGATTTTGATGCCTGTTTCCTTCCTCACATTAGGGAAGTTCTCTGCTATTATTTGCTCCAATATACCTTCTGCCCCTCTCTTTCTTTCTTCTTTTTCTGGGATCCTAATTATTCTAATGTTGTTTCAACGTATTGTATCGCTTATCTCTCAAATTCTGCCCTCATGGTTCTGTAGTTGTTTCTCTCTCTTTTTCTCAGCCTCTTTATTGTCCATCATTTGGTCTTCTATATCGCTGATTCTCTCTTCTGCCTCATTTATCCTAGCAGTTAGTCCCCCATTTTTGATTGCACCTCATCAATAGCCTTTTTGATTTTGATTTGGTTAGATTTTCGTTCTTTTATTTCTCCAGAAAGCGTTTCTCTAATAACTTCCATGCTTTTTTCAAGCCCAGCTAGTATCTTTAAAGTCATGATTCTGAACTCTAGGTCCGACATCATACTAATGTCCGTATTGAGTAGGTCCCTGGCAGACGGTAATACCTTTTGTTCTTTTTGCTGAGGTGATTTTTTTCGTCTTGTCATTTTGTCCAGAGGAGAATAGATGAATGAAAGAACAAAATGCTAACAGGTTAACAACGTCCCCAGCAAATATACTCTATATAAGTCAGAAAAGACCTGAAACCAGGGGAAAAGAAAGGGAAAGAAAGAAAAAAGAAAGAGAAAAAAAAAAGATAAAAACAAAAACCGAACAATACAAAAATACCAGAATATGATCAAATATGATCAGTCTAGTGCGTAGATCAGTGTCACACACTAGATTTTGGGCGTATTTTGGTCTGTCAGAAAAAAGTGCCTCCTAAAATTTTAAAGGAAGAAAGACATATATACAAAATAAGGGTTGGTACAATGAAGGGATGGAAGATGACTCTAAACATGAAAATTATAAAAGATTTTATAAAAGGAATTGATAAGAGGTTGTTTGAAAAAAGAAAGAAGAAGATTTAAAAAAAAAAGAAAAAAAAAGGGAGAGAATGTGATCAGGCAGGAGACTAGAACAAAGCCATACACTAGTGATTTAGGGTATATTTTGATCCGTTAGAAGAAACTGTATCTCAAAATTTTAAAAAGAGAACAACTTTTATATATATGCCAAAAATAAGGGTAACTACTATGAAGGGATAAAATATGACTCTAAAAATGAAAAATTAAAAATGTTTTTTTAAAAAAGGGATTGATAAGATGGTGGTTGAAAAAGGGAAAAAAAATTAAAAAAAGTTAAAAAAATTAACTTTGAAAAACTAATGAATCATGGTAAAAAAGCCATGAATTCTATGTGCAGTATTCCCCTACCGCTGGAGTTCTCCCGTTCTCCTTGATGGGTAAACTTGGTCTTCGCTTGCTGGCTGTTTGTGCTGATCTTCTGGGGGAGGGGCCTGTTGCCGTGGTTCTGAAATGTCTTTGCGGGGGGGGGTGGGGGGGACTGGAATTGCCCCGCCCTTGTCGGTCTGGCCTAAGCAAGCTTGTTCGGGTTTGCTCTCAGGAGCTTTTTTTCCCTGCAAGTTCTCAGTACAGCTTTGGAGGACCAGGGTGGAAATGGTGGCCACCCAGTCTCCACCTGGAGGAGCTGAGAATTCGGGGCCCCGCTCCTTGGTGCGCCCCCAGAGAAAAGCAGTCACTCCGGTCTCCCTGGTCTCCGGCTGCACTCCGTGCTCACCCGGCCTGTGACCGAGTGTTTCTGTCTCTGGCACCTGACCCCGTGAGGAGTCTCCAAACCCAGCAGATCCCTGCGGTGCGCTCCTGCGCCGCCCTTCCCGGGGGAGGAAGGAAGTCTCCCCGGATCTTCCGCTTGTTGGGTCCCTGCTGGAGAAGCAGTGGCCCGAGTGGGCCGCAGATCACTGTTTATGGCAACCCCGAGCCGAGAGCCGGCGCCTCGGCTCCGTCTCTGCAGCCGGCTTCCCCGCTCCGATACCTGGGAGCTCTGCTGCACTCAGGCACCCCCAGTTTTTCTGTGACCCCGAGGGTCCTGAGACCACACTGTCCCGCGAGGGTTCCACCCCCCGCTTAGCCACTGGAGTGATGTCCCTCAGCGGAGCCGACTTCTAAAAGTTCCGATTTTGTGCTCCCTGGCTCTATCACTTGCCAGAAGCGGCCGACAGAGGCCCTGTGGGCAGTGTTTTGAGTAAAGGTAACAAAATGACAATAATGGACTTCTGCTTTTTTTGGTAGGGTTAGATGACTGCCTGCAGCAGTATGTCCACAAGTTTGAACGGGAGAAGATAAATGGAGAGCAGCTGCTGCAGATTTCCCATCAGGATCTTGAGGAGCTGGGGGTCACGCGAATTGGACACCAGGAACTTGTGTTGGAGGCTGTCGACCTTCTCTGTGCGCTGGTGAGTTCAGGAAAAGATGATCTGTGCCATGATTATGTCCTCTAGAACCTTACTTGCTTAAATCCTTAATGTTCGCGATTTGGTGTAGCATCGCTTTCTATTAATGCTCCATTGAAGTGAAGCATGAGCTGAAGACAACATAAAAAAGGAAGAAAAAGAATTGTTTTCTAGGTGAGGAGCAGGCAAACTGGCCTGCAGGTTAAGCCTGGCCCATTATTTTTGTCAATAAAGTTTTATCGGCACACAGCCACGCCCATGCATCTGTTATCTGCAGCTACTCTCCAGCCACAGCGGTCGAGTGGAGTAGTTGGGCCAGGGACCCTGTGTCTGCCAGAGTCCAGTGTATTTACTGTCTTGCCCTTTAAGAAGAAGCTTACCTTTTACAGAATAAAGTCAGTGTTAACAGTTTCATTTTCTTATCTTGTGTGGAGAGTACAAAGAGGGAGATCATCCTGAACGCCAGTGGCATCTTCTAAACTGAAATGAGAAATAGGTTCTGATTTTCATGTCTGTTTTTGTCACTATGAAAAGCTTTTTTATGTTTCCCAGGTATTTGTGATAAACTGATGCTCGTGCTTGCAGTCACCAACCTAGGAAGTGGTAGCTAGATGGGAAAAAAGGTGAACATAGCTACACTTTGCAGATGCTTGAGCTTTGGCTTGAACATAAGTGAGTTCAGTCCTGCCAGGTTCTGACTCTTGCATGGCACCCGTGGCTGCATGAGTGACTTTTTTAAGCATGGGCTAAAAGCTCCTGTGAGGGCATTGTGTTTACAAACTGGCTGCTGTGCGGTGGGATTCCACGTCTGTGTGCTACGATGCCATGTCAGGGATGCCGTTTCCCCAGCTGTCAGGATCTGGACCCGCTCCGCAGCATTCAGGCTGGGTTAAGTAATGCCATGAACCTGAGCCAGGGGTATATACAATTACATCACTGAGAATGGTGGGAAAGAATGTGCTCCCGATTATCTTGCCATTGCTGGTCTGCGTTCCGTTGATTATGTAACACTTGCCGCATTGTGCATATTCTTCTTCTTAAAATGGACAGAGCTTTGTCTCCCGCTCTGAGATGCGCTGCTCTTGTTTACAAAAGTAATGGGGAAATTATTTGTGGTTGATAAATGAGCTGCCACAGGGGAGACGCTGTGGCCAAAGTGGTGTGAGTGTTGGCCTGGGAGGCAGGCTTTCTGCATTCTAATCCTGGCTCTGCTACACGCTCCTCACTCTGTGACCTCCAGGGAAACGGGGGTGTCTGTTTTCCCCATCTGTACAGTAACACTCTCTGGATGTGGCAGGACTCTAACGTGTCTGTTGCATTGCCCAGAAGATGTCTTAGAGTCCTGTTTATTATTAAGGCTGTATGGTTTTCTTATATACAGTGAAAGATGTTTGAGTTTACTTTTATTGTACTTTCTGGGAAGCTCACTTTTCCATCTTTTCTGCTCATTTGATTTGTCTCTTTCAACTTCAAGGAAGGGCTTTGAGGTAAATGACTTTGCAGTCCACAATATGAGAGGTGAGGAGGAAGGGTCGATCCAAGGCACGCAGTGTATAGCAAGCCAGGTAATAAACATAGCAACCCCCTCTCTGCTCTTGCCCCTTCCCTACCTCTTAAAATATTGGCCTGAAATGAACAAAGCTGGACAAATGCCAGAACCTAAAGCTGCATTTTATCTCCTACAATTTCCTTCTAATTTCCTTTGCAGACAAAGTTTGACCTCAAACTCATTCTGGACATGCTTTGTGCAGCAAAGTGCCAGTGAATGCATTTGACAGGAGGGGCACAGGGGGGCTCTCAAATGAGTGTGCCTTTTCGGGGTTGGGGAGGGTTTTAGAGGGTTTGATTAAAATATTTTTTTTCTTCTTGATGTAATATCCTCCTAAAGTGTTCCTATTGAAATGCATATGTTAATTATTGTACTATCTATTTAATCTGTTTACACTATGGAGATCTTTGTATTTATAAATTGGTGATAATTCTTTGCCTTGAACAACCCAACCCTTGGGCCGTTCATGTATACTTGCAGTTGGCCCTGGGGTTATAAAAGAGGTGGTAATGTAAACTTAGTTTGGTGGATGTTGGTTTTGTGATGGACAGGAAATGAATAGAATGTAGAAGAAAGAGAGGAAAAAACAACCACTGGAAAGTTCTGGAAAGAACAGGGCAGATAGAATGGGTAAAAACCTAACATAGGGACTAGCTATTGGTAAAGATTCCAAAACCAGTGAGCAGATGGCCCACAGATAGCTAGTCATGGTTAGAGAAGAGAGCCAGGAGAGAACACCACTGCCTTTTGCAAATATCGACCATGGACTTGTATCATGAGGCTGAACCAAGACCACTTCTTAGGATTGAGTTCAGAGTCTGAGCCCAATTTTTCTCCACCTATCTGGAGCAGCCTCTTAGAGCTGCTCTTTCCAGTAGGACAACTATTCGCCACGTGCAACTGTTTAAATTAAGATAAATTAAAATGAAATAAAATTCACTTCCTTGGTCACACTAAGCTACATTTCAAGTGCTCATAGCTCCTGGTGGCTAGTATCTACCATATTTGGACAGTGCACATAGAGAACATTTTCCTACTTGCAACAAGTTCTGTTGACTAGCGCTGGTCTGGAGGGTGCGATCGAGAGTAAGAACAAGTATAATTGTAACCCATTTCCATTGCCAAATCAACCAAACCCTAGTTACCAAGGCAGGCACATATATATAATTGTATATAAGTTAATTAAATATTTTATAATTAAATATAAAACATTATATATATGTCTTAAAGATTTTATTTTGGAGAGAGAGCGCCCGTGCGTGTGCAAAGGGGGGAGGGGGAAGGAGAGAGACTCTCAAGCAAGACTACATGCCGAGCACGGGACTGGTTGCAAGGGTTCCCTCTCACAATCCCGATGAGATCAAGACCCCAGGCAGAAGCTTACCCAACTGAGCCCCACAGGTGCCCCATATTTTTAAGGTTGAAGTAGGTTGAGAAAGTGAACAAAGTAGGGATCAGTAACACATGTTAAGTGATGCCACCTAAATGTATGATTAAATGAAATACCTGTAATGTATTTACCTGCCCAGGGCACTTCTGTGCACTTGTATATCCCTGAGATTATTAATTTCCTCCTTTACCTACATCTATGGCAAATCATGAAAAAATGTTATCCTTCTTTATGGGGAAAAATCATGCCGGAAGAGTAATCTTTGCTGACAGTCTGAATTTAACTTGATCTTGCTTATGAGTGTATTAAATGCCTTTTGGAAAAAATGTGGAATATCTCTCTTAGGTTGTGACCAAACTGAGCCAAGTCAGTGAGATGGTTTAGGTTGTGTTTTCTCTGGCACTCCTTAATCACGTATATTAGATCATGGACAGGGTCGGGAGGAATGGGAAAAGAAGGTAGAAGAGAAGGAGAAGATTCGTCTTAGCCAAAATGTGTATAATTAAGGCACCAGAAGAGTGAGACTCTGCCTTTTTCCGTCTCTCCTGTCCCCCGCGTGCTTTCCCCAGCCAGACCAGGAAATACCGTCTCTCCTGTCCCCCGCGTGCTTTCCCCAGCCAGACCAGGAAATAACCCCCCAATGGCTAACCTCTGATGAAGCGAGATCTCAGCGGAAGGGTTTGTGTGTGTGTATAGATTTTCAGGGACTCATTTCATTTCTTACTTGGTTTGTATCTTCTTGTTACTTTTATCTTAGCACAATTTCTGAAGGGGACAAGTTTGAGGGAAAAGATTAATGAAGGTAATCAAATCTGGTCTGAGTAATTATTCATTTTCTGTTTTTCATTGTGGGGCACTTAAGTCAATAATCCTTTCCTGATTATGTTTCTACATTAGAGGTTCTCTTGAGCGAATATAATCAGTTTCTTGTTCTCTTCCTGTGTGGAATGGGGGCGGGAGGGGGGAGGGAAGGATTGTCCTTCCTTTGCTCCTTCTTTCTATCTTGTTAAAATTGTACTCCATCAGAGCTGCATCTCTCCCTCCTTCCAGTCCTATGATTTGTTTTGGGTGGGAAACCAGATTCAGAGCACATTGAGTGGAAAGGAAAAGAACCAGTTAACAAGAAGCTACACTCCCCCTTTATTTTAATATGAGAAGTGGTAGGTTTGTAGGAGATTGAGGTTTAACACTTCTTGCAACACTAAAATGCATTTAATCCTCTTTGAGTTCAAGAAGGAAATGTTGTGTGTAGTAATAAGAGTTCCAAGTCATTTCTGGTGACACTGATTCTAGAAAGCTGACTTTCCTGCTTTTAGTTCAGAACTCTTGATAGAAATTGGCAGGCTGAGTAATTGACTGAATGAGGGGACAGTTCCATTTAATCAGTCACAAGTCCTTCAAAACAAGCTTGTCACGTGGCTCTTTATCCATTCACTTGTGAGTCTTCGATTCTCTGGATTTAAAAAGCATGATGAAAATCCGTCTTTGTATTTTTGTCTTCTTTGTTGAAGGACAACATCATATTTTAGTCTGTAGAAAATGACAGGAAAAAACGAAGGAATATGAGGTTTGGATAGAACATTACTGTTAATACAGAACACTCATTTTTATTATGAAATTTTATTTCATTGAATTATGAAATTATGAATTTATTATGAAGATTTTAAAGCTTGCAAAAGACAGCCACCAGTTAACGGATCTGAGGAAGTATTCATTTTTATTTTATTTTTTTATTGTACTCCACTCTTTTCAAAATGTCTATCTAAATTTTTTAAAAAGCACTTTTTATTTTATTATAGGCAGCAACATAAATTTAAGCTTCATGAAAATTTCACTGCAGTGAAAACCCAGCTATAGTGTCCGTAGTCAGTGTCACCAGAAATTACTTGGAACTTTTATTACTATGCAAACATTGACTTCTTGAACATCAGGGGATTCGGCAGGTCACGATAGAATTTGGGGGGAGGTAAGCAGCTTGTTAGTTTGTGTGGATCCAAGGCCACTGGCCACTTTTCTTTTCCTCGTCTGTTACCCATCCTGTTTTCTGTTTTTTCCCTCTGTCCTCCCTTGGGCAGGGAGCGTGGACGGGGACCATGCAGCATGGTGATCGAAAGCTTGTGTCCTCGCTGCTGATGGCCTTCATTAGAATCCCACCTCTCCACAGAGGAGCTGTGTGACTTTGGGGAATTTATTTAATGGCTCTGTGCTTCAGTTTCCTCACCTGTAAAATAGAGATCCTATCATTTCCACCTTCGTGTGCTCTTTCCCTGAGATAATACTTGTTGGGCACTTGGCCCAGTCTCGAGACGGCAGAGAGTAAGTGTTCAATGATATTGGTCATTCTTTTATTCCCAACGTTTAAAGGGCACCATATTCTTGCTTTGGGGATGCTGTTGCAGCAGTATAACAGACCCCAGAAATATCTTCATTTTTTGTTAAAATAATGAAACACCAACTTGGGATATGTCCATGCAGCTGAATACAGAAATTCATCCTTCCCTCCCACCAAAGTCATCTCAGGTGTGGGTGTTGGGATTTGTTCTCTACCTATCACACGAGATTCATTCTTTCAAAGCACCTAAGTAAGTTGAACATTATTATCCAGAAAGAACACAGGTGAGAAACTCAAGAGATGGAAATTACATTTCAGGTGAATTGACGTTTGGTCAGTGTTGCTGTTTCTGGGCAAGTAAGTCTCACCTGATGGAAATTCATCCATTCAGGGGCTGCTTTGTTGTCTTCTGTGCTGCCAGTATGAGTGTGAGCCGGACACAGACCTCGGCCCTCTCGGACCTCACATCTCCATGGAGGAAGGTGGTGCCAAACAGGGTGGTTCAGAGAGGTGGCAGATCGGTGATGAGCTAGAGAGTGACCTGAGGGGGCATTTGGCAATGTCTGGAGACATCTTTGGTTGTCACAACTAGGGAGAAGGTGCTACTGGCCAGGGGTACTGCTCCGCATCTTGCGATGTACAGGCATCCTCCCTCTCCCCCTCACCCCAACCCAAACAGAGAACACTGGGCTTTAAATGTCAGTAGGGCTCAGGCTAAGGAACTTGCCCTAGAATGTCAAGGAAGCCTCAAAGAGGAGGGAGCCTTTGGGCTAGTAGGTAAATATAAAAAAGAGCTGTCCATGCGAATATTTGTGGCAGGAGCATTTGAAAAGAGGAACTAGCAAGGACAAAGTCCCTGGGACAGGAGTATGCTGGAGGAAGGACAGAAGAGGCTGGAGTGGGTAAGATCAGCACTGTGGGTAAATCATGTAGGGTTTTGTGACTGTCGTAGGAGTTACTCAGGTTGCTCAGTGGGCTTTTGCGTTATTACGAGAGTTTGGATGTTGTTGATTGTCTTGAATTTTTCCCTTTGATTTTATTTTCCACAGAATTATGGCCTGGAAACTGATAATATGAAGAACTTAGTTCTGAAACTGCGAGCATCTTCCCACAACTTACAAAATTACATAAGTAGCCGGAGGAAAAGTCCGGCTTATGATGGAAACACTTCCCACAAGCCCCCCAATGAGTTCCTGACTTCTGTGGTGGAGCTAATAGGTGCTGCTAAGGCCTTGTTGGCTTGGCTGGACCGGTAAGTGATGCATGCGCTTGACGGTCCGATCAGGGGAGGGCCCGAGCCGCACACAGCCCTGTCCGTTGTCTTAGGGAAATGAGCTGGTGTCTCTTTCCTGTCCCTTCCACTGCACCGCTGCGGGAGTTCTGGCTCAGTGGGGGATTTCTGGGTCCCTTTGGAAGCTACCGAAAGGGTGAATAGCAGGAACAAATTAAGCTCCCCTTGGGGAAGGCCTGGAACCATGTGGAAGCTGTGCATCACTGTGGTTAAACGTTTGTGATTATTTGGTTGGTCTGTAGGCTGTCAGTTGACCTCTGAAGGGACATGAATTCTCTTGGCTCCTTTTCTGAAGTGCTCTTATCTAGCACTTCTCTGTCTCTTTTCTGTTCAGATTCCTGTTTTTGAGAGGAAACAGTTGCATGACCAGTCTTTGAAACCAGCCTGTGGTGTGGCTGTGCTTCTCAGCATACCGTGCGGGATCCCAGTACCCCCACCCCTTTTTTAAAAGAATGTTTGTTGCTTTCTAGGGCTCCATTTACAGGGATCACGGATTTCTCAGTAACGAAGAACAAAATCATTCAGCTTTGCCTGGACCTGACAACTACCGTCCAGAAGGTCAGTACGTCACTGTTGCTTTTTAACACCGTTTCCTCCCTCTGCCCTGTTCTCTTCTTCAGAGGACTCACATGCTTTTTGCTTTTCTGCCCCTCGCCATTTTTTTTCCCATCCCAACTGGGGAGAGAGAGGAAAGGCTTTTAATTAGACACTTTGTACAGATGGTTTCTAGAAAGTGACCAGTGGCCTTTACATAGAAGATTACCTTCTTTTGTTTTAAAATAGTTGAGCTAATAGGCCTGTACTTTCTCTAAACTGTTCAAGCACTTAATTTTTTTAAATAGAAACTCTGGAGGAACTATGTGACGTAAAGTTAAGGAATGCTAAGGAGGGAAGGAGCACGAGAAGGATTGAGGTGGAATTCAGGTTTAGGTATGGGGCTGGAGTGACCCTCCGTGAGAAGGTGACTCTTGTCTGGAGGGAGTGGGCTTCTTAACGTCGTCTTGGGGTGTTTTTCTGGTAGTCACAGAAGTGTTGATTATTATGAACTGATGGTAGAAAAAAGTCTCCGCATGGGAGGTACAGATCCTGAGCTGGTCACGTCAGGAGAAGGCTGCCCGCCGAGCATTCTCATCACACTTGCCCCTTCTTCGGGCCTCACACCGCCTGGCACATGAGAAGTGGTGACTTTTAAATGTGTGTTTAAACAAATGAGACAGTGCTTTTGACAAATCAGCTGATGAGACTTTGTCACTTGTTGGAAGAAGTTTAACCCAAACTTAGGGGACAGAAGGGGTATTGTTTTTGTTTTCCCTTTGGTGCTCATTGAACATGTGCTTCAGAGACAGATAGCCACACGTTCAAATCCTACCTCTACCACTAATTAGTCCTGGGACCTTGGACAAGTCACTTAAAACTTAGGAACCTCAATTTTTTTGTCTGTAAAATGGGAATACTAATATTTACCTTACCAGATGATTTGGCAGGATTTCTAGAAGTTATTATTAAATAAGGAAAAAAGTGTAATGTAATGACAAATGGTGACCCCCCCAATATGGAAGTGTATGTATATATGTATTTATAATACACATCCAAAAGCTTGTGTACGAAGGAGTAAGTACAGTAGGCAATTTGGAAGAAAAGTTGGGTTTACTTTGGCAGGGAGAGAAGTGGGGATGGAGCATAGGAGCCAAGGCCCCTCCACCCCAGGAAGGAAAAGAAACACTTCTTTCATTTACAAGGAATATTATGTGACCACATGTATGTATTTGTGTAAAATTGGATATAGAGAAATATTGTAAAGTATTTTATTTTAAAATAATAATATCTACCTCAAAAGATTGGTATGAAGATTAAATGAGATGTAATACATGTAAAGCACAGTGCCCACAAGAAATAAGAGCATATAATAGGAAATATAAAAAATCACACCTTGTACTGGTTTTCTGGAAACAAATTTGATGGTTTAAGGAGAGAAAGTTGACAAGTGTGTTGCTCTTTTCTTTCTGTTTTTGGTTTTTTGTTGTTGTTTATTTAAATTTGAACAATTTTTAAGGATGGAGACTGGCAAAATATGAATATACATGGGAATATCATTTTATGGACTTAGATTGAGAAAGATGTTTAGCTCTTGTGAACATATGTTGTCTTTAGCAATTAGAGAACACAGGTGCCTTGGCAAGTGGACTATTTGTGTGCACATGGATTAGAAATAACAAACTTGATGAATGAGCCAAACGCCTTTTTCTATGTGCCATGTGATGGCAGCGACAAGACTGAATGAGCCAGGAGACTTCACACTCTCTTCCAGCAAGGGGACGTACAGTTTTCTTCAAAACTTCTTGGCAGAAGGTCTCTTGACTTTTCTGGAAGAAACCCGTCTTTTCCATTTATTCCTTTTCTCTGGGAAATTGAAGGAATGAAAGTTGTGTCCTTCTTTTCCGGTGACAAGGAACATGTTCTCCTTGGGTCTTTCTTTCGTCTCCTTCTGCTCCTTTCTCTCGTCCGTATGTTGCCGTCCACCCTCCTCTTTCTTGTCACGTTGTCTGCATCCTTCTGTTGAAGGATAATGTGTCCATCTCCTGATCTGAAGGGTGAAGAGTTGCTGCTTTTTCCCCTGGGAAGAGCCTGCACCATTCTTGTAAGTGCGCCTCAGCTGCCGTCCCACGCCAAGTGCATGGAGAGAGCTCCAGTCCAGTTTTCAGGCTCTACCGTCGGACAAAGGAAACTGGGGTGGGAAGGCGTTGGGCTCTGTACCTTCAGTCTGTCCTCATAAAGTTGCGATGACATGGAAACTGCAGTCACAGTGGTGAGAGACGAAATGGCAGTGGCAGGCACCAGAGTTCCACTGGGGGAAAAATGGGGGGAATGAGCAATAGAAAGCCCAGGAGGACTGAACAGAAAGTGAAGTGGCCACAGAAGCAGAGGAGGAAGAAGCCCCGAGAGCATTTATTGGGTGCTAGTTGTGTCTCAGGTGCGTGCGACATCTTTGACGCCTGTTACCGCGTTGACTTCTCAGCAGATCTCGGAGCTAGGGTTTATCATGCCCGCTTTACAGAGGAAGAGACACAGCATGGAGAGGGTGACAGGTTGCTGAAGAAGGTAGAATGAGGAAGAGCCATGGAGGGAAGGGGCATCCGATGGTGGCCCCGGTGTGGTCCCTGCCAGGCAGGCTGGTCTGAGTCTGTTGATCCGGGTGACCAAGGAATGTGACAGAGGTCGGTCCCACTGTCTGGATCCTGAGGGGTGACTCGGTTCCAGAACTTCTTTTTCCCATTCCATTGCCTTTATGCCAAACAACATGAAGTCATGCCTGCAGCTGCTTCCTCCCAGTAGGAACGGGTGTGGGAACCCACGTTCATGGTGGCAGAAGGTAAAAAGGGAGCTCTTTCACATGCTGACTGGAACAGTTTTGGGAGGCAGGAGAGCCCCTCTCATGCCTTGGTTCCAGTGCCACAGGGAGCCCATTTTCTTGGCGGCTTCTTGGATCTGTCAGGGAGTCAAGTGTCAAGAACCACGAGGGCCCACAGCCACCTCGAATCGTGGGCCCTGGTGTATTGAGAGGAGCTGTCTGTCTGCGGGTGATTATCTCATGAGGGTGACAGGGCTCACACCATTTTGGTATTTGTCATGAAAAGTCACAAACACCTATTATTAGTTTTATTTCTAGCACAAGACCGCATACGTATTCTGTTTGCTAAAATTGATATTTATTTAATAATTCTGTCTTTCTGATGGTTTTAATAGCGGTTGACTCGTTGTGGTAGTTGATGGTTTAGTTCTGTGCACAAGAGGGAGAAGAAGCAGCACATTTTTAAGCTATGATTATTCTATTTTACAGAAGTTGCTCCTGTAGTTTGAGTTTATATCAGATTCATGCATGTAAAAATACATTTCTAAATTGCTTTTTTTAAGTGTGTTCTTACTTGGCTGCTCTTTTCCTGAGAATCAGTGTAAATTTTGGGAGCAGTGGAAAATTATTGTTTTCCCACATTTTTTAATCTAGTAGAGAATTTTCTTAGGAAGACACCGAAAATCTGGTTACAAAATCCTATAGGGTAGAATATCGTACATTTCTAACCCGACCCCCACCCCCCTAGTGGTAGTAGAAAAATGACTTCAAATGACTTTTGAATGAAGTGAAAATCTTTGACAATTCCAACAGAGTTGATTAATATGTACATGAAATAATTAGGATGTCCTAGTTTGGGATCAGACTTAATGGTGCAAAATAAAGTCTAAAGAATCTAGTCCCCTTTTTTTTCTGCATACTCTGCCACGTAGATGGGAAACCTCTGCTGTAGACCAGTTCTAAAGGTTTATTGTGAGAGTTTGACATCGGTGGCTTCACTGTGACCACTTTTAGATAGGACAGCGGTGACTCCTGTAATCAGTCAACTGGGTTCGTACAGTTCTGAGTCTTTTGTTCTTAAGCTGAGTAAATAATGCTTTGCATTCCAGCCCTTTATTTGATGTCATCAATAGCATACCTCAAGACCACTTTTTTGGCAGCGTGTTAATGAATGTTTTGTTGAACCTTTTTCATTTATTAAGGACTGAGATATCTGATTTAATCTCAGTGGTGCTTAAAATAAACTTCTGTGGCTATGTTTACTGAAGCCCTTATTTGAAAGCTATTCTTATAGGCAGGCCCAGAGCTAAAAGATTCCTGGCTTGTTGACCAAGGGCTGGCTGAGCGCAGGGTCATGTTTGGGAGCCATTGTCAGGTTTCTTGGACTTGACTTCTGGCTTACTACTCTCTGCCCTGTCTAGATGGTCGGTGGATTTCAGTTCATTTTTCATAGGTTTTCTGATTAAATAATTGGTCAAATATGTTCCTTGGATGATAAACTCCTTCGGTCAGGAGAAACCAGAGCCTTAGGAGGAGTTGGAGTTGGCCCCGCTCTGTACCCTCTCTATTCAGTGCAGGACTCCTTGGGCTGCAGGGTGAGGAAGGACCATCCTGGGCTCCAGGAAGTACCTATAGAGCTAAGCCAACAGTTTTTGGAAGTTTCTAGCTCTTATGGTTTTCTTTTTCTTTTTTCCTTCTTTAGGATTGCCTTGTAGCAGAAATGGAGGATAAAGTTTTAACCGTAGTAAGTATACCTTTTACAAGTTACTGTAAAATTCCTTTCCCCAAACCAGTGGGACTCAACATCAATTCAAGCAAAAACTCTGTGGCTGATTCCTTCAGGATATATTTTGAAATATTGGCTTTTTGGGAGTTGAGTCTATTAATTTAGGTCGAAAGGGAAGAATAAAAGTTATTTAATAACAAGAAAATGACTACTGTGAAAATTCCTGTGCTTGGGTAAATGGGGGTCTCTGTCTCCTCTGAACATTTCATTAGGTACAGTTATACTTAAATTACTAGGTAGCCTGTTAATCAGGGGTACACTGATCTGCAGATTTCTCTTGAGGAACATTTTGATTAAAAAAAAAAAATCCTTGGCAAAAACCTTATGATGGAGGAGGGGGGAATGTGCTGTGATTGTTTAAAGAGATTTTGTGACTATTCATCATCGCTTCCTCCCTTTGACATAAGCTGGCCTGTGCTCTTTTGATAAGGCCTTCCTCCCACTGATGTTGAGGAATTTAGCAATGAAACAGCTATAAATATATTTTCCATAAATAGGGAGGCTAAACAAATTGGGGGAATATAAGAAGTGTCACTTCTTGGATTCTCCCCCTTGGAAAAAAAAAATCCCTCTTTGGAATTTCCTGATTTCTTTGGTGGCTTAATTTTGAAAGGTTAGATGAATCTGACTGGAGGAAACCACCACACATAACCACGGTTATTTCTACATGGAGACCACTTACTAAGGATCTTCGTGTCTCAAAAATTTTACCTTGTCAACGTTCAGGGTCAGAGAATGTGAGCCATCACTAAAAAGATCATACACCCTAAATGTAAAGCACAAATCTATGTATCTCCTAGATGATACCAGGAGAAAATCTAGGTTGACCTTGTGTTTGCCAGTGAATTTTTAATACAACACCAAAGATAGAATCCATGAAAGAAAAATTAATAAGGTAGATCTCCTTGAGATGGAACATTCTGCTCCATGAAATGCAGTGTTAAGAGGACGAAAAGACAAGCCACAAACTCGGAACAAGTATTTTTAAAACACATATCAGATAAAGAACTTGTCTCCAAAATATACAAAGAACTGTTAAAACTCAATAATAAGAAAATAAACCCAGTTAAAAAGTGGGCAAAGTATCTGTACGGACGCCTCACCAAAGAAGATAGGCATTTGACAAATGAATATAGGGAACGGTGTTCAATGTCATGTTTCGTTAGGGAATTGCAAATTAAAACAATAGTGAGACAACACTACACACCTATTAGAATAACTGAAATCCAAAACATGACAACACCAAATGCTGGCAAGGATTGGAGAAGTAGGAGCTCTTGTTCATTGCTGGTGGGAATGCAGAATGGTACAGCCCCTTTGGAAGACACTGCAACAGTTTCTTGCAAAACCACGCGTATTCTTACCCTACAATCTAGCAGTTAGACCCTTGGGTATTTACCTGATCACGGAAACCTGTACAGAATGTTGTGGCAGCTTTATTCATAATTGCCAAAACTTGGAAGCAGCCAAGATGTCCTCCAGTAAGTGACTGTATAATCTGGCACATCCAGACAATAGAATATTGTTCAGAATATTCAGAATATTCAATATTATTCATAAAAAGAAATGATCTATAAAGCTATGAAAAGATATGGAGGAAACTTAAAGGCACCTTACCAAAGGAAGGAAGCCAACCTGAAAAGACTACATATTGTAGGATTCTAATTATTTGGTATTCTGGAAGAAGCCAAACCGCAGAGACAGTAAATCAGTGATTGGCAAGGGTTCATTGTGGGGGCGGCGAGAGAGGTGAAGCAGGGGGTTTTTAGGTAGTGAAACTAGTCTGTACGGTACGACAGTGGTAGATGCATGACATGCGATTGTGGGAACCTGTAGAACTGTACACCACAAAAAGTGAACCCTCATGGAAACTGTGGACTTTCTGTTGATAATAAGGTACCAATTTTGGTTCCTCAGTTGTAACAGATGTGCCATATTAATGCAAAATGTTTTTTATATCTTGTTCTTATTAGCCGTCTTATAGGTATTATTGGAAATTGCGTTGGGGTGGGGAAGTATAGAGAAACTCTGTACTTTATGCTCAGTTTTTCTGTAAATCCAAAATTACTCTAAAAATAAAATCTATTAAAAAAAAGCAGTTACAGACAAAAAAATTTTTTTTAACCTTGTGAGTATTTGATATGCACCAAATGTGAGTGATCGCTGAGACACTATGCAGACGGCTGGGAAGAAGTGACTTCCGCTGCCAAACGGGGGTTTCTGTACAGCGTCTGCTCTTCAGTGGCCGTAATTCTTGGAAGAGCTGCACTCTTTAAACAAAGCCCATTTCCACCGATTGCAAATACGAAGTCCAAATCCCTTGGCTCCATGGAGTAGCATTATTAAAATGATTGCTGGCCGGAGCTGAAGATTGTAGGGCAAGTGCATTTCTTTAAAATTCAGCTTGAGATAAACTTGGTTAATGATTGAACCTTTCCTATTTGCCTCTGCCAACCTTGAGGTCAAGGTTTTAAATGGCATCTGTGACAAAACAATACAATCTACTACGGATCCTGTTATGAGCCAGTGTGCATGTCTGGAGGAGGTTCACTTGCCGAACGTTAAACCTGGGGAAGGCCTGGTAAGAATTCTAGAAAGACTTGTTTTCTTTCTTTCTCTTTCTTTCTTTCTTTCTCTTTCTCTCTTTCTTTCTTTCTTTTTCTTTCTTTTTCTTTCTTTCCTTCCTTCCTTCCTTCCTTCCTTCCTTCTTTCTTTCTTTCTTTTTTAAAATTTTTTAAAGATTTCATTTATTTATTTGGAAGAGAGAGAGAGAGATTGAGAGAACAAGTGGGGGGAGGGGTAAAGGGAGAAGCAGATCCCTTGCAGAGCAGGGAGCCTGATGCTGGACTCAGTCCCAGGCCTGGGGATCATGACCTGAGCCGAAGGCAGATGCTTAACTGACTGAGCCACCCAAGGGCCCGAAACACTTGTTTTCTTTTCAAATGATAACATATCGTCATTTATTAAAGTTTTTTTCCTGATTCCTTATTGCTTTTACTATGATTCTGAATAGAATTAAATTAGATTGTCTTCCATTATGTAGTTAGGAATTTGCCATCTTGAGCTGTTGATATGTTTTATGTCTTCAAAGTGTAAAAATACAGTTTTTGAACTGTATTCTCATATCTTGAAGGAATTGTCTTAACAGTTTTATTTTAAGATTCAGCCATGCAAGGAGATATAAAACATTTACACAAAGGAAAGATGGTCTCTGGGTGCAAAACAGCATCTGCTCTGAAAGTTTATATTAGCACTTAGGATGAATGTGAGAAGAGATGGAGGAACAGCATGGTTTCTTAAAAAAAAGTCCAGAACTGGATGAGCCCTCCACTGACAGGCCCTGAGCATACAAACAGGTAGATTCCTGGCTACCTGCATCCGTGCCTCGATACCTAGATCTTCCGGTCCCTCGCCTGCCTCGGGCGTGATTCATTTACTGAGATTGAAGTGGAGAAAGTGTGAGGCTCCTCGATGAGCTTGAGAGAGCTGGGTTTCCTCATCTGACGGAAGTGAACGGTAATCATTACTGCCTCACAGAGTTGTTGAGAGTATTAAAGTAGAGGAGGAGTGCTGGGCCTCAGCTGCTGGGGGCTGTGCAGGTACCGGTACCGGCACTGAGGAGGAGGGGGAGGAGGAGGAGGAAGGCCTAGTGTGTAGGTAGCCGTGGGGAGATGCGGAGGTAGCCTCTGCTCTCAAGAAAACAAAAGTCCACTGACTATCGATAAGTTCACAGTCTTAGTACGTAGAAATATACATGTTGAGACGTCTTGGCTTCAGAGTAAATGATGGATTATTAAGCGGGGAAGACTTCCTGGAGGTGAGTTTATAGTTATGGTTCGAAGTTATGGCAGAGAATGCCCCAAGTGGGCGGAAGTGGGCTTGCTGTTTTAGGTGGTGAAGTTCTATGAGCAAATGCTTTGGAAGGAGGAGTCCCATAGGCCGGGACAGGCGGATTCCTGTGTGAATGAAAGAAACAGGAAGGGAGAGGAATGGGGAGATCCTTGAAGGTGTTAGCATTTGATGAGATTCTCATTACAGAGTGGTGTAGGTTGCTGACCAGGGCAAGTTCCGGGTCAAAATGATTTCTGAGGAAGATCTATGTTATTGCAAATTTGATACCAGAGCGAGCAACTACTCTGCCCAGTCAACTTTTTGCTCTTTTCCCCCATCTTATAAAAGTTTAATAAAAATTTTTTATATGTGATACATCAAACAGTGGAAATGTTTCCTCCATGGTATGGTATTCACCTGTGAGTTTGTCTTTATGCTTCCCCTTAAAATGGAGGGGTGCCTGTTTCTGACTTACTCCCTATGTTGTGTTGCTTAATAATCTTTGCTCATATTTCCTGGTCTGGGTTGTTAGTGGCTTAAACAAGTCACCCATGATGACTGCTGATCCCCCATTTGTCTGAATGTATTGTGTCACCAGGCAAAGAGATGGTCAGGAGAGAACAGTCCTTGTTTGAAATGCCTTATTCATTCCGCAAGTCCGAGAAAGTATCTTCTGAGTCCCCAGAGTTATGGCAAAATTCTCTGTGCCTGGTACACAAATTATAATACCAGAGAGATCCGGCTCCGGATTTCTTTCATGAGTGTTTCCCTTTGTTAGCTCCCCTTCACTGCTCCTTGGCTCTGGTTTCCCAGTGTTTCAGGAGGCTTAGAAATGAGCGTTATTCTGAAGCGATTGCCTTTAATGTTTTATAAGATGAAGTCTCCCTGGCGGCTATGTTTGTAAATGTTGGAGTAATGAGTTAATATGTTTGTGACTCACTCTAGGGCATGTACATCAAATCAACCTATGATGGATTGCACGTGATTACTGGAACCACAGAGAACGTAAGTGCGCCTATCCGTTAAATGTAAAAGCTATTATGTGTTTAAACAGATGTGACACACAGTCCTTATACTTTTCGTTCAAACGTGTGCATCGTATTTTATTATCTGCAGTGAGAGTGTGGGTGCTGTTTTGTTTATTTCTGTTGCTAGCATGCTGCTTATCACCAGCTGTTGGAAATTTATTATTTAAATTGTCTTTTATTGCTGTTGTTCACATACCTTGCCTAGTTTTTACCCCCCACCCTTCTTAATTATTCCTTTTGCACCCTGGAAGTGTTAACCCATAAGTCTAAAAACAATGATCTCATTGTAGTTGAAAAACTACTTTTACAAGAACTGGAATTAGTAGTCATATGTGTAAAATACAGTTTTTTGTTGTTCTTTAGTGGAATTTAGATGTATCACCAAAGCAGCTATTTTGGGATTTTACACAATGTAGATTCTTTTTATAGAGTTGTGTTTTGTAATATTTGGCATGATATTGAAATTTAGTGTTTTTTTTTTTCTCCCCTGATCTTTTAAATAGAAAAAGCAGGGCTGCTTCTACTGTGAGAGTCTTTGTACACTGTTAACTTCCTTTTGGAAATGCTGCTCCATGAAAGGTTTTTCTTGAGCCCCTCAAACATTTTGAATTTGTAAAAAGTAGAGCTAATTGAATGCTTTCTTTTTGCAACCTACAATATGGCTAGTTTTTGATGACATTGATATGAAGCTAAAAATGTTTGAATAGCTTCCTGGATCTGTATGAAAGAAGCATGTGTCTGTGGAGCTAATCTGCTGTTTAATCAACTAAGACCAGAGGAAATAATTCCTAAAAATAGAAGAAATTTGGTAACTCCTTCTCTAATCTGGTGGAAATACGTGTTGAATTTTGAACTTGAGCTGCTGAGTCTTTTGATAAAATAAAATGGCATGATCTTTGATGAAGGTTTGTGACACAAGCTTGATTTTTGTAGCAAGAAGGAAATGGCGCTGCTGAAGGCAGTCAGTGAATTTTAAATATGGTGTGCGGTTCTGGCTGAGGAATGAGTGGAAGATGGTGGTGTCTTTAAGACTCCTTCGTCAGGCTACCGTGAAAATGCACTGAGAAACGATAGGAATTTTTACAGCACATCACCTGATAGGCAATAACTGCATGGGTGGTTCTGCTTTTAGGTCAAGGATGGTGCAGAAGAGAAAACGCATAACTCATTACACAGTTCATCCCTCATTCTTGTCAGATTCTTGAGCATATTTCAGCTCAAGCAGAACGAGGACCACTTAGTGCATTGTTTGGGAGTTGGATGGATTCAGAGGGATGGTGAAGGTCATTTCAGGTTTTAAAGAGTGGAAGTTTTGAGTCCAGCAATTTAGTGATTGCATTGTTTAACCACCAGACCTGTGTGGTTGCAGACTCTCCCTGGTCTTCTTAAAGCAGTTTTCATCTTGGATAAGCGTGTAGTTCACCATCCTATTACTACCAGAAGGCACACAGGTTTCTGCTCCTCAAACCAGCCTTTGGTTTTAAGGATGAGAGTTGAATGAGAGACGAAACAAGCTGCTTTTGAATGAAGTGAAATGTCACATGCAAAGATACATCTCCTAGCATTCCTACCAGACTCAAAAAGACTGGATGAGAGGTTTGGGGTTTACCTGGATGTGGTTGGTTCCATACAGGATGATACAGAAGCCATCCTAGAGACAGGTGGTTTCCATCTTGTTAAAGAATAAAAAAGGGAAAACTTGTCTTACTCCATCTGGCAGTCCATTTGAGAATGTCTCTCATTCTTTTCCAGTCACTGAGCTTGTGTTCACCGAGTACCTGGAATGTGCTAAACACTTGCTAAATCTTACAGATGGGGGTGGGAAGTTAGGTAAGAGCGTACTTCTCAAGGGCTTAGTCTGGGTATTTTACACTAAATGCTGGATATTTTAGACTTAAATGGCGGTTGAAAATGCCAGCTGCCAGCTCCGGGACAGCCTTCCAGCTAGCACTTAAGGTTGTTGAGACTTTCGAATCAGAATGTTGGTTAGTTAGTCATGTATGTATGTATGAATAAGAGAATGTAAGCAGGGGGAGGGGCAGAGGGAGAGGGAGAAGGGAGAATCTCAAGCAGACAACCCGCTGAGCTAGGAAGCTAATGTGGGGCGAGATCATGACCTGAGCCGAAATCAAGAGTCCATCAGCCACCCAGGTGCTCCCAGAATTGGAATGTTTTAATGGAAGCCTGGTGTGGTGGGTGGTAGTGGATGGAAATCACCCACTGCATTCCCTATATTTATCTTGGACTCCAGGCTGAAGCAATGTTAGCAGGTCATATTAGGCCTCCAGTCCATTCTGGGGGGAGGTTACCTGAGAAGTCAGGATCATTCCAAGGTCAGCCTAACAGTATCTAGTGATTCTCTATGACTTCTTTTTTTGAGGTTGTTCAACACCTTGACAGGATCCCATCCATACTTCTATTCCCCACCTCTGAGATAATGTGGGAATTAGATTAGCCTCTGAAGAATGGATGCATTCTTCTCCAGGTCATCACCCTTCTGCAGAAAACCAGAACAAGCATCATTTTTTAGTAGTCTGGCTCATGGTAAAGATAGGCAAGAGTCACTGCCCCAGGAAGAATTTTGGTATCACGCTGTTTCTTTACCAGTGTTCTGCCAAACACATCTCTTAATCACCTGGTAGGACATTTGAGAAATGAATGCATGAGGATCCCTAAGAAGGAAAGTCAATTCAGGACACTTAGGCTTGGTTTTTAAGATTGCACATCCATAAACAAGAACTTCCTAGCCTCAGGGTCATCTTTTATAAAGTGAAGCTTACCTTAAATGAATCCCCAGCCAGGAAGATTATCTGGGCTGGACTGATTCTGATCGGACTTACCAGAATTGGTCTAAAGCTGTGAGTTAAGCATCTGATGCATAGGGGCAAAAAGGAGCCTAGACACATTCGATTTTTTTAAGTCCCTCAAGAGAAAGAGATTTGAGGTAGACCATTTCCCTGAGGATGAGGTACTCGCGGTGCAGGTCTCTCAGGGAAGACACCGCTGGTTGGTATAGTGGCAGGTTAAATGTTTTGAAAAGTAACTCTCATAGTTAACCTGCACCTTGCACTGGGTCTAGATACATCAAAGGGGCTGTTTCTACAGTTTAATGTTGCTTGCTCATTTCTGGTTGAGCCCATCCCAACAGTTGAGTGAGAAGATTCAGCCAAGAATGTCTTGGGTTTGGTTCCTGCCCTCCTGACTGTGTTCAGGGGTGCTGTTTTTTAAGAAAAAAAATTATAAATATGTCTGAAGACTCAGCCAGTTACATGAGTTACATAAGTAATTGGCTGAATAAAATAAAATACTCCAGCCTGGATAACGTTAGATTGTAATTTGAAATCAAGGGTTTATCCTTTTCTTTGCTTTTGCTCATAGGCAATACCTTAAATATAGAGAGTGCTAGTTTCATTAATTGAACAGAATATTGTGGACAAAATATTTGACAGATAGATTATGTCTAGATATTTATATGCACACAGGTGGAGAGAGAGCTATATATATATATATATATATATATATATGTATAGCTATATAGTATATAATTTATATGTGTGCAGATTTGTAGCAAAGTATTATTTGGGGGAATTAAAATCTGGACTTCTGATACTGAAAACACATTTCATTTTCAATTCAACCTGAAAATGACAAAAGTTTAAATTCGTTTTCTCTGAAGAAGTGCATTTTCTATTGTCACCATCTTTCTATGCTAATAGCATTGTGATAATTCGTAAGACAAGGTTGAGTAGACAAGATTTCGCTTTAATAATTGCTTAAAAGGAGATAGGATAACATTGTTACAGTGATGGTCTTTACGTGTTAAGCTGTTGGTCAGCTTTTACAAGATTAATTTTGATAGGGATCTACATAAGGTATTTTTTAGATGAACCAAAGGGTTTTTTTAATCAGTTCGTTGTGTCAACAGAGTGTCCCACTTTGCCTGATGGGTTAGATGGACCTGGCTATTTTAACTGACAGCTGGTCTGGACCAGCCGACCGTTCATCAAGTAGGGAACGTGAGTGCCCAGCCCATGCCAGGCTCTACAGACGGTGTCGTCCTGGGATCGTCTCATAAGCGCGCCCTGTAATAGTTCTTGAGAAAATTATATTTCCATTGCTCGTTGTCTGCAGAAGAAAGAAGGAGGAAGAAATAGAAGCAGAAAGAAAGAGAAGATTTAAAAAATAAGACTGGTCTCTGTGTTTGTTCCTAATAGTCTCCTGCAGACAGATCTCAGAAGATTCATGCTGGTGATGAAGTCATTCAGGTTAATCAGCAAACTGTGGTGAGTTTGTTCGTTGAGACTTCAGATGTTTAATATTCCCCTCTAGAACTTTTAACTAAATCCAAAGCCATTTTGCTTGAATTTTTTAAATTTGCGATTTCTATCCCAATTTTCCGTAGTTTTAAGTAATGCTGAGATAAACATGCTGGTGTCTGCTTATTTGCTCACCACTGATTTCCTTGAAATAAATTCATAGATTTGATTTTTGATAATTCACAAGTGAGTCCCTTCTCCTCATTTTCTTTCTCTGAAGGTGGGATGGCAACTAAAAAATCTGGTGAGGAAATTGAGAGAGAATCCTACAGGAGTCGTATTACTGCTTAAGAAGCGCCCCACGGGTTCTTTCAACTTTACCCCTGCTCCCCTGAAAAACCTCCGGTGGAGACCGCCCCTGGTGCAGGTATCCGTTATTGGTTGTAAACCTTTCTCTGCCAGCCACGCGTTAACCTTGCCGAGGATGGGATTTGTCTTCAGAAAGAACAGTTACCATCTGAAGGTGATTGGTTTCTCGGGAGTTTGTGTATGCAGAATCATTCTCTAGTTCTACTTCAGTGAAAATACACATTCTAGATTTTGCACTAGCCACGTGTGACTATTTAAATAATTAACATGAAAAGTCCGGTGCCTTGGCCTCGTTAGCCACATTCCAGAGGCTTGGTGGCCTTGTGTGGCCAGTGGCTGTCATCATCGCTGCAGAAAGTTCATTCTGGTCCTTTTCCCCTTTCCTGTCAAACACATCTGACGGTACCCAGTTTGAGCACTAACCCTGGAAAGACTAACCCCTGCCTTGGCAGGTGAAGTCCTGCCAGGGCAGGAGTAGGGACCGTGGGAATAATCCACACAGTGGGGAGTGTATCACCACATTGTTTAGTTCAGACCTGGCAGCCTTGGGTGATAATCAAAAGCAGACAGACTTACAGTATCGTACTGTATAGTATTGTATAATTCTATACGAACAAGTACACTCCTTTATTGCCTACACCTGGGTGGAGTGTACTCAGGGACCAAAACCCTCCTGATACCATGGGTCCTAAGTGTTTATTTCTTAAATTGTGAATAAAAAGCAATGACATCTTAATGCCCTTTTTAAAGATTGAGATTGCAATTTATATGGAACTGTCTGCCACTTTACTGTTCATCTTCGAATGGAGGGAATGGTAGCCATCTCAGGCTATCAGTTTGGACCCTTGGTGATGCGTAGAGCATTGGAAATACACCTGCATGTGTACCTTAATGGGGGGGGGTTAAAATAAATAACAGGATATGGAGTAAGGAGGGGCACATGATTAAAATCACTTCTTAAATAATAAGTGATTAATACATGATTTAGAAGTCAACTCCTATAAAAAATCATCTCTTAAATAATAACAATATCAATCACACTCCAACTGTGATGGGGCAAGTCCAGTGAAAGACTCATGTTAAGAGGTCATTTGGAAGAAGCATGAAAAAGACTCGTGGAGCAGCACAGCATAGTGGTTGGGCGGGGGGCTTGGAATTAAACTTCTCCAGTTCAAATTCCAGCTCTGCCACCTGGAGGTCTCCCCCTAAAACAGGGCTGTGACTCTGAGTACATTCCAGTCCTTATGGGGCCTCTGATAAGGTATTTAATCTTTCTAAACCTCACTCCTAATTATTAGTATTTACTGTGAGAGAAGGCTGGGGCTCCTGGGTGGCTCGGTTGGTTAAGCGTCTGCCTTCAGCTCAGGTCATGATCCCAGGGTCCTGGGATCGAACCCCGCATTGGGCTCTCTGCTCAGTGGGGAGTCTGCTTCTCTCTCTCCTCCTGCTTCTTCCCCTGCTTGGGCTTTCTCTCTCTCACATGCGCACTCTCTCTCTCTCTCAAATAGATACATAAAATCTTAAAAGTAAAGGCTTTGGGCTAAGGGATGAGGAAGGCAAGCAAGGCAGGAGTGAAATGTGACCATGAACCTGGCTGGTGATACCAGTGACAGAAATCAGAGAGTCAGGGACGGCAGAGACGGTGGGTCTTTTGAGCATCTTTGAGTTTGAAGCGAGGGAGGAAGATTCAAGTGGCTGTGGTGGTAAGTGAAAGTTATTTTGAAGTACAGGCTAGAGTTAGTTCTTTCACCTCTGGACATTCACTTAAGAAGGACATGCTTCCTTCCTCTCTGGCTTTGTCCACCTTCCTGCCAAGTCCCAACAACTGTGCAGTTTTGGGGAGCAGATGATGGTGAGGGAGGAGACACCTCGTTTTGCTTCTGACCGAGGGAGAGAACCACCATCACAACTGAGAGGCCGTTTTTACAGCTTAGCTACCAAATGTTCTCATGATGCGTCCAGGATATTTTCAGAATATAAATTCTGGAACGCCAGCACTCCCTGGGCATTGCTGTGTGTCATTCTCCAGGCTTCATGCCCAGGCACCCACCTCATGTGGGAGGGAGCTTCTTTCCTTCTTGTCAGCATCATTAATGTGGCCTGTCCCTGAGAAGGTGTCCTTGTTCTGTTTCTAGGCCACCATCCTGGTGAACGAAAGATCTTTTACAGCCGCCATCATCAATGCTGGAGTCTTTGGAGAGCGCTTACTCTGTGCCAGTGTCATTCTTTACTTTTGTTAGCACTTGTGGAGGGCCTCCCTCCTGGCCCCGTGTTTTCAGACATTGTTCAAGGTTGACGGATTGAGGTGTTAATCAGTTCCATATTGAGTAGGGTTGACTGCGTTAGTGGCCAACATCCAGGCTGTAGGGATGATGTCACAGGAGACTAAAGACTAAGCCCCCATTTCTCTTGAGCCTGGAGGTCTCCCCCTAAAACAGGGCTGTGACTATGAGTACATTCCAGTCCTTAAAATCTAGCTCATGGTCTCATTTTGGGGGGCCTTTGGGGTCTTCGATCACCATCCGGGCTGGATAGGGTTTGAGATGCCAGGGGCCAGGCACAGTTCTCATGTGCCCCCACCCTCCGCCTCCCACTGGCCATCACCAGGCGTCTTCATGCCTCAACTCTGGGATTTCCTCATGGTTCCTTTACCCACCAGAAAGTGTGTCGTCATTGTTAGTCTATAGAAGAGAGAGGATTTGAAGGTCTCACACAAGATTTTTAAAAATAGGTCCTTTGAACCCAATAACATAATTAAAATTAAGCTGTAAGGACTTTAAAGTTTTAAAATTAACTTGTATGGATGTGTGTATATATAATACTAAATTAAACAGCGTAAGGTTGTGTACTTACTATGTGACAGGCAGTGTGCGAAGCCTGTGACATGTATCACTTAATTCACCCTGTGTGGGTGCTATTCTTGTCCCCATTTATGCCCATCTTATAGATGAGGCACAGAGAAGTTAAGTGCTTTGCTCAGAGATACACAGCCAATGAGAGCTGTAGCCACAATAGCACCCGGACAGAGTCCCAAGCCCATGTTCCTAGTCCGTGATAGCATCGTTAGTGATTTGCATGAACTAGCTCATTCAATCTGCACTGTAGCCCTTTGCAAGAGGTACTATCAGGATGGCTGTTTTTTGAGGAGGAAACTGAGCAATGGGTATTTAAGTGATTTGCTCAGAGCTAGAATTCTAACCTGGCTCCCAAACCTCTACCTTTTTTTTTTTAAAGATTTATTTACTTGAGAGAGCACGCAGGCATGCACAGGTGCGGGGAAGAGGGGCAGAGGGAGAGAATCTTTCAAGCAGATTCCATGCTGAGCACAGAGCCTGATGAGGGGCTTGATCCCACAACCCATGCGATCATGATCTGAGCCGAAACTGGGAGTCAGATGCCCAACTGACTGAGCCACCCAGGCGCCTTCCACCCCCTACCCCCAAGCCTCTACCTCTTCCTATGCCTCTAGTTTTCTAAAACTCCCAGTTAATTCTGAATGTCTCAAAGACTACAAATTGAATTGTTGCTAATAGTTGTAAACACACAAAGGACCTCGGCCCTCAGTGTTGGCTTTGGGGAAGGAGAGTTGCCCAAGAATAATCTCCCCTCCCACCCTTTGCTCTGGCTTCCATCTCAGACCTCACCTCCACCCACGACGGCCCAGCCCCCTGAAAGCGCTATGGATACCTCGCCGAAGAAGGAGAAGCCAGCCATCCTGGATCTCCATATCCCTCCTCCACCAGCTGTTCCCTACTCCCCCCGGTATGTCGGTGCCCGTTCAGTGTGCACGCCTGTTTCTTGTGCATGAAGATTCTGAGTGGGGGTGTGAGAGCCGGGAGGATTTTGAGGGCAGGAGTTGGTGAACTCCAGGGTGACAAGGGCTGAGTCTTGACATCGTAGTTGTTTGAAGAAGTGTCATCCCGGGAGTAGTGGGGGGCGGGAGGAGTGGGTGGAGGGGGTCACAAGGTCCAGACTTCCAGGTACAAGATAAAGAAGTTGTGGGGTGTCATGTACAGCGCGGTGATGTAGCGAACAATACTGTATTTTATAGTTGCAAGTTGCAGAGAGAGATTTTTAAAAGTTCTCATCACAAGAATAAAAGAATATGTAACTGTGTGAGGTGATGGATGTCTTAGACTTTTTGCAGGATCATTTCACAATATATACACATATCAAGCCACTATGCTGTACGCCTGAAACAAATACAATGTTATGTGCCAGTTGTATCTCACTAAAACTGGGGCGGAGGGGACGTGTGTGATCCTTTAGGGGGAAGTGTAGGGATGGATCCAGGTTTCATGGGCCTTGAAACTGTGCAGTTTGGTGAGGAGGGGCTCGACGTAAAGAAAGCACGTGCTCTTGGGAATGCGTTGTTCTAGTTCCTCCCAGAACGTCAGCAGGGGGTGTTTGGGGGTCCCTGAAGCTGAAGTTTCGTTCCATATAAGGTAAAAATCACCTCTGGGGAGGAAGATAATAAATTTTTTTATGCGGCAGGTTGAAGTTACGGCTTTATTTTACGGAGAGAGTTGTGTTCTTCATAGGACTTCAGAAATGTCAGTGGAGGTGTGATACTCTGTATTTGTGCATGCGCGTGTTTGTGTGTGTCTGTTAGAAATTCTAATGGAAAAAATTCTTAATTGGTACATGGTATAACGAGGCTAGTCACATTAGCTATTCCACAGGGGATTATTTAGGTGTGAAATACAGGCTTATTTATATCAATTTACCCATTTACAGAGAATTTGGCTCATTTAGTCAACATACATTTAGTGAGTGTGGGGCCCGAATCACCATCTTACACAAAACAGATGCAGTTCTTACCCCCAGAGAACTGCCAATGTCTTAGTCAGCTGTCCAAGAATAAATTGAGAAATACATAATTATGCTATAATATTTCATAAGAAAAAGTTCGGGCTGAACTTAACCATGGTATTTTACTTCATACTGGGAGTTTTTTGTTGGTTGGTTTTTGTTTTAAGCTGAGTATTTGATTCTGTCGTGTTTCTTCCATGGGCACAAGGAAGAATGAACACCATTTTCCTCCCCCGGCTTTGGGCTGCCCAGAACTTAGTACAGCACATAGAGAACTTACCTTAGCTGATCAGAGGCATCCTGGTTGGTAGATGGGGACCCTTCCCTGTCTTCACAGACCAGAGTCATGTGGTCACAGGATCTTAAATGTGTTTAAAGTGACAAGTAGTTGCCTTTGCACACGGAGAACACAGTTTCACTGATGACCAGTGTGTGGGTTGTTCTATAAGAAACCAGGAGGCCACTCCCAAACTCCCAACTCTGAATGTTCTTGTCTGGGTCTCAGTGAAGGGTCACAGAGCAGTGGCAGGAAGAAGGGTATCTACATAGTGTAAAGGGGAAGGGGAACTGGAGCTTTTAATCTACTCAGGGGAAACACATGGTGCACATAAGACATATGCACACGTGCATACACACATACACTTACACACCATTAATGAAGGATATCTTCTGAGGAATGAAACACGCAAATGGTTATGGAGAACCAGAGGTGAGTCTTGAGAGCTTTGTGAATGGGGAAGTTATATGCCAGGTTTAAAAGTATAGGAGGAGATGGATTCGTAGAAGGAAAAGGGGGCGCGCAGGCAGGGGGTTCACTGGGAATACCAAGCAGGCAAAGCTGATCTTCAGATTGTTTTTGGACTCAGGTGATGCTGTGGTTTGTCTAGTAGTTTTTATAATGATCACCTAAGAGAGTTTTCTAAATGCAAAAAAATTTAACTAGCTGGTAACTTGGACTCAATTCAAATTAATTTTAAGTTTTATGAAAGCTGACATTTAGAAAGAATTAAGTTGGAGTCCTTAATCCAACACTTGCCAGTTTCTGTATGGGGTTCAGAAAACAGACACTCTCCATTGGGTATGATAAAGGCGCCTTTGTATTTTTTGACATAATTTTCAACCCTAACAACTCCATTACACATCCAGTGTGGTCTTTGCTGGATCTTGGCAAAGATACTACTTGGGGCATCAGAAAGATGGCCCAGTCATCCCTTAACTTGTGATTTCTGTAATAAATAGGAGATTCAGGTGTAGGATAGAAGTACAGGGAACCAGAGCTGTCTTTTCAAAGCCATATTTGTACTTCTTTTATTTAGTAGGATCATGCTATTTACTCTTACCTATTAGGATTTCTGTGTATTGGAGGGGTAACAGAGATCGAAAAACGAATGCTTTTTCCTCCAGTGGAAAGGAGGATTCAAATTTTCTTACGTGTGTTTGCTGGAGGAAGTCGGCCTGTAATTCTTCTCTACCAGAGGATCTTTGTAAGCAACTTAATTATTGCCCACTGTCTTCCAGGGATGAGAATGGGAGTTTTCTTTATGGAGGCCTCAGTAAATGTAAACAGCCATTGCCTGGTCCTAAGGGTTCTGAGTCACCAAACTCCTTCCTGGACCAGGAGAGCCGAAGACGGAGATTTACCATTGCTGATTCCGATCAGTTGCCTGGGTATTCGGTGGAAACCAATATTCAGCCCACAAAAATGAGAGAGAAAACACCATCTTATGGTACATTTCTGAGTGTTTGTTTTGTTCTGCCATTTGTTTTTCCTTCCCTCCCCCACACACCCTTCCTTATTTGGAACTGTTGGATGAATTTGGCAGACTTCAAGGGTAATCTGAGGAAAACATAAACCTCAATGAAATTCTAAGTATGAGACCTTTATTCATCTCTCTAAAGCGAAGTCTTGTTGAATCATTACTCTCTGCCTGGCATCAAAGCCCAGCGGAGTGAGATCATGTTACAGTTTTAACTTGCAGCGCCTGGGTTTTAGCTTGGAGTGGCTTTGCTCTGTAGATACACAGACTTCAGGTCAGCCGGCCTCTGTCCTCATTGCTTGCCATGGAAATGGGATGCTTTAAAATACTTTTCTTAGTTTACAGTAATGTTATTACTTATGGTTAAGTGAGTGTGATATGGGGGGAGTCTTAAGTTATAAACAAAAGGGAAGATTCTCTAAGGTCCAGAAACTCTTGTCAACTTAGCGCGTTCCTTCTCCTCCCTTTGAAGGCAAGCCCCGGCCTTTGTCCATGCCTGCAGATGGGAGCTGGATGGGGATAGTGGACCCTTTTGCCAGACCTCGAGGTCATGGGAGAAAGGGTAAGTTTAAGCAAACTAAAAACACACCAAACTGGAGTCAGAAGAGCCATGGCCCTCGTTTCAACCCTATTCCTAGTTGTGCTGTAATAACCAGATAGAGGACCCCAGCCTGAGTCCTGTCTTCTCATCTATAAAATCGGAGTTGCTGAATCTCTGAGGCCCTACCTGTTTCTGGAATGGCAGAATTATATTATCCTAGTTAGTGACTGAATCTCCTCATTAGCATCGTGTGCTTTAAAAAGGTTGTGGGGGCACCTGGGTGGCTCAGTTTGGTTAAGCCTTTGACTCTTGATTTCAGCTCAGGTCATGATCTCAGGGTTCTGGGATCGAGCCCCGCATCGGGCTCCCTGTTCAGCGGGGAGTCTGCTTCTCCCTCTCCCTCTGTGCTCTCTCTCTCTCTCTCTCTCTCTCTCAAATAAATAAATAAATAAAATCTTAAAAAAATAAAAGGAAGAAGAGAAAAGTTCTGGAGGCTCAACTTCCAAAGTGATCAACCCCTCACATCTCCCTGGGCCTTGGTAAAGTTCCTCTCTTAGGAGGAATCCAAATCACCTGGATTATAATAAAGTGGAAAAGGGAGAAGATGTCTGTGTAAGGTCCAGGATACCTTTAATTGGCATGTGAAAATCTGTGGAGCAGTCAGCAGGTGGCAGGGCTGTCCTTTGTTTAGATTTAGAAGCATCAACATCTTCATTGCTATTCTCTTAGGCTTTTAATCTCCGATTTAGCCTTTTTATTTCCTTTCAGTATTGGGAGGTCGCGGTGGGAGGTGGGGAGTGTTAAGTCTGGAAGTGGAGACATACTTGACCTCCTATCTCACCATATTTCCGTTGTAGGATCATTTTAGAATGAAAAGGTGTCTGTCTGCACGATGGGCACTTTAACAAAAAAAAGCAGCTTTCTTGAGAGAGGACTCACATACCATAAATCTGTTCACCCCATCAAAGTGTACAATTCAGAGGTTTTTAATACATTCATAGAGTTGTGTGTCCATCAGCACTGTCTAATTCCAGCGTATTTTATCACTTCAGAAAAGAAACCCCTGCAGGCAGTCATTCCTCATTGCCTCATCCTTCAGCTCCTGGCAACCGCTAATCTACTTTCTGTTTCTCTGGATTTTTGTACTCTCAATGTTTCCTATAAGTAGACTCATAATATGTGGTTCCTTGACGATGGGCACTTCTTAAAAGTAACTACCCCTTTGATTACAAAAGCAAAACAAGTACACTGAAAAGACTGAAGAAAATAAAACTCACCTGTAATCTGCTTTCCCAACCTAGAAATAATCACTCTGAATGTTTTCTGTTTTTTTCCAACTTAGAGAAAAATGTGCAAAATGGAAGAACTAGATGTTTGACAATACTGTGCAAAGTGACTTATTCAACACATGTATGTTTTCTGTAATAACTGCATTAGGAATCTGTCTTAGGGCTGTAGCATGTACTTATTCAGGCTGCTGCTGAACACTTAGTTTGTGCACTCCCCCACCCCCCATCATAAGTAGTGCTGCGCTGAGCATCTTGTACCTAGATCTTCATACACTTTTCGGAGTGGAATTTCTGGGTCGAAAGAATGCTACACGTTGCCAAAGTGCCCTGCATTTTAGGTTTCCATTCACTTTCTTAACTCCCCCCGCCCCCACTCCCATCCCAGGAGCTGTCTACTGGCATTGAGGCTGGGACCATTCTTCCTTGTTTGGAAATGTCTTAAGCGTGGCAGAGCATGAAAATCTTTCAACCCTGTCCATTAAAGGTGAATAATAGTGCCTGCCCTTCATTGAGGGTGACAACCCAAGGCACCTCCACCTTTCCAAATGCTCTTCAGGAGATGCTTCAGGATAAGAACCACTGTTCTAGAAGCATGTGCGACATGCTACAGGCATTGAACAAGAACAGATGGGGAAGGAGTGATAGAATGAGACAGCCTTTTCGCTTTTTTTTTTTTAAATTTCGAGTGAAATTATGAAAAATCTTACACTGGTAAAGAAGTGTGGGCTCTCTGATTCTGCTCTGCCCTTGTGTTGCCTTTCGGGTGTAAAATCTGACTAACTCTGATGGACTCCTTCCATTTCTACTTTCTAAACATCCTGTGGGGTGGGCCTGGCTGTCTTGGAGGCTTTGCAGCCCACCCCTGGGAGGAGGGCAGGGTCTGGTGCCCACCTCGAGGGCATCAGAAGTCTCAGCAGGCTGCTGGCCCAGCTGGACAGGGCTGCGCAGTGGATGGTTATTGTAACGGACTTGTGGGCTTTGTCTGAAAACAGGTGAGGACGCTCTCTGCCGGTATTTCAGTAATGAGCGGATCCCTCCCATCGTCGAAGAAAGCTCCTCTCCCCCGTACCGGTTCTCACGGCCCCCAGCGGAGAGGCAGCTGGTCCGCGGCGCAGACTACGTCCGGGGGAGCAGGTGCTACATCAGTTCGGATCTCCACAGCAGCGCCACGATTCCGTTCCAGGAGGAAGGGGCCCGAAAGAAGCCGGTCTCCTCGGCGGCCAAGTCCTCCTCTACAGAACCGTCCCTGCTGGTCAGCTGGTTTACTCGCCTCAAACTGTTGACTCACTGAGCCCCGCCCTCCAGGGCCTCTTCCCCGTCTCCCGCTCGCAAGTGCCTTGCTTCTTCAGTTGACAACCTGTTCTGGTTTTCATCCACAGTATTATGTAGTGACCTTATGCAGTTTCATCGTTAGTTTTCATTTGGAAGTCACAGACTGCCCTTCTCGGAATTTTGAAGTAATTGGATGGGAACAAATCCGGAGGATCTTAGGTGTTGCCTTGTGGAGGCAGAAGGAGAGAAAGGAGTGGAGTCCGCTTTTCTTGCTTCCTTAGGGTCGGAACACGGAGACACACTGTAAACTGGGGCCTGGGCCAGGAATGTTATGGTCATGAGGAGGAACTGGGCCGTCGTTGGTGCTGGGGGTGGGGCTGAAGTTGGTGTCCCTTGTCACAGAGATGTGTTGGTTTGTGGTCCAACTTCTTCACCTGAAAAAGCCAGTGGAGAAAACATTTTTGTTTTGATTTTTCAAGCTACATACCATATTTGTAAGTGTAGCAGCTTTGACTTTGAAATAACATGTGGCATGCATTTCATGCTGTTTCAAAGAAGTGGTTTAAGTAATTGTAGGCCTGTTACACTTGGCTATTCCCTTTTTGTAACAATCTCAGTATGTAGGTCAGTTAATACAGAAACACATGAATGCGTTGATAGGGCTTATTACACACAGAGAAGTTTATGGTTATTTGTGAGGGGTGTCGTTGTTGTTATATATTATTGTCTTTAAGGGAAAAGAAGCTATAAGATTTGCTGACAGCCAAAGTATCATTCAGAACAATGAAGCAACAATATTTAGGTTTACGAGAGATACATCCGTTTCCATTTTGACTGTGTAACGTCTGCCTTCCAGAAACAAAACAAAACAAAACAGGCAGTTCTTCAAACTTGTATATATTTTGCTAAATAGAAATCTCTTGGAAAGTCTCATGGTCACTAATTTTCAACTAGCATCAGGTATTTTGGAAAAGTGTGTCAGGATATTAACTCTTGTTTAAACTGAATGTATGATATTTTGTTAGAACAGAAAAGTACTATCTTGTTAATTTAAGTGTTTTAAATATAGTTGTATATTTTTCTTACTCTTAGTCACATGTAATTGAAATACTTCTGTTTTGCGTCCTGTGTGAAGCTAATGAAAATGAGTGTTCAAGGTGTTTTCCAATTTATAAGTGACTACCACGGCCACTGCCCCTGTGGGCCCTATTGTTAAAAAACAAAATAAACCCTCCCAAGCATTTTGGGATGTTATGGATTAGAAGTGGGGGTGTTCAGGAAGCACAGTACAGTAACATTACATCTGGGGACTTTTCCGAGGTATTTTCCTAGGCAGAGCTGGTATCCCCTACTCAACGCTCCCCCCCACACACACCCCTGAAATTGTTTACTTTGCTCAAGTGCCTGAAATTCAACGAATTAGAGCTTCTCTGGATTTAGTAAACATCTTCCTTTTTAAGTGAGGGGATTGAATTCAGTCAGGCTTTTCCCATCCCCTCTCTGAGGGAGCTGCAGCTGAAGGCTAGAAGAGGCGTGGAATGCGTGATTCATTGGGTGCTTCAAACACGATGTAAGGGCAGAGCACGGGGCGGGGAGGTCTGGTAACGGGGCTCTGGAGACTAGCCTGGAAGCTCTGGAAAAGGAGGGGCATCAGCCTTGGCCCATTTTACTGTTAGCTTGAGCTGGCTTTATGCCCAGAAAAGGGGATGCCAACACTTCCTCTCAGTCCCTGGATTTGGGAGGATTCTTAGTGCTGCGGTTCAGCTGAGTAATGAGTTAAGTAGCGTTGGAGGTCTTAGCTGCAGGTTGGCCCCTTTTCTGTGGAGAAAATGCAACTTGTGATCAGATGACCATTTCCTCAAAAGGCGTTTTTGGGGGTCAGTCTTAACTACAGGCAGTACCCAACTTAAATTACTGCACCAGATCGGTGTTTTGCGGCTTTGTTCCCTCAAGCTGTAATAGAAGACGAGAAATTTCTGGGTCCTCTACCTTCATTCAGTCAGATGCCACAGCTTCATCTGTATTTTTATTTGGGGCTTTCTCCTGAATTGTGTTTGAGAAATAGATCCCTGCTAAGAAAAAGAAATATTTTTGTATGTAGCTGTACCGTTGAGATACATAAACAGTAGCTTAATACTAATTTCTTAGCCATAAATGGAAGCCACTTGCCTCCATAGTAATCCAGGTTTAATGGTGGGCGTGTGGAATGACACTTTTTGACATGAAACTTTAAAATAGTGATTTTTCCTTTAACCCTACCAGACGCAGCTCAACACCCACCCCTTTTTATCATATATATTTTACAACATAGCTACAATCATCAGCTAAAAGTCACGGATGATAAAACCTATCCTCACACATAAAAATATCACCCGCATTTCCTTTTACGATTCCAAAATGAAATTAATAGGTAATACAGCCAGCCTCTATACACATGCATCAATTTGATGACCTAAGTGACATATAAACAAATATATAAATATAGTGAAATAATTATTTTCCTATGTAATACTCTAGCATGGTTATGTTATAAAATGTATTGAAATAATGAAAGAAGGCACATACTTGCCCCTGTAGATAAAATCGCCACAAATGTGGCAGCCACAAATGGAGACCAGTACAGGTGTGTTCTGTTGGCAACTCAATGCCAGGAACAGACTGATGTCAGTGACATGATTTTCTAAAATGTGGCCAATTGTTGATAAAGTTGTAGACAAAACAAAAGTCTATGAGAGCTACGCCCACCTAGTGCTTACTGGGTGCCTGCCATTGTTCTAAATACTTACCCAACAACTTTATGAGGTGAGTGTCCCTGTTCTTCCCATTTTACAAGTGAGGGAGTTACCCGAGGGTAGAGAGCTGATAACAGCAGAGCTGGGATTAAAATCGAAGCAATTTAGCTCTGCCCTCCTTGTTCATAATCACTTTACAGGCTTCTCTCAATTTGGGGAGTGATTACTTTCCTGAAAATTCCAACACATCTTAAAACTGGACTGAAAACTCCCTGTGTGTATACAGATAAAATGAGATTATAGACTCAGATAATGCTGAGCCGGGTTTCCACCCACATGAGTACTTGGCGGTGCAGTTGAATGCTGTACTGATGGGGAACAGTTTTTGGTTGTAAGGGATCTAACCTGCGGGGCTCATGTAGCACCCAGGCCCCACCTGGTGACCAGCAGTGGCCCTCCCCATCATTGGCACCTCATATTTCCAAAACTGCCTCTAGGATGGTACACCATCCTTTTGAGAACAAGTGATTTAAAAGAAATCCTGTCATCATCATCATCGAGTGTGACTCAGTCTTCATGCTATATTCTTGCCCATCGTCTATCTCTGCTTCTTTCTCCTTGCTTCTCTACCCACCAAACCTGAAGTTCTAGAATCAGTTTTATGGGGTTTTTTGTTTTTCTTTTCCTCCCCTCAAAGCCAAGCAGTTGTTGCTGCCTCTGGCCCAAAGACCATGAATGTTACCGAGTTTCAGTTTGTTGGCCCTCAGAAAACCCTGAGGTATTTACACATAATTTTATCCCTTGAAGAGCTTAAGTAAATTTCTGTTTGACATCTGAATATTATCAGCAAAGAATAAAAGGCGTGGAGCCTTTTTTGCCACCACAGGCATAAATGGGATGGCCTCATGTGCAGGTCTCCATGTGTCTGTGACTAGTCTTTATGGACAAGGGGTTCACATTTTGCTCCCACCCTTGTGATAGAGACCCTGCATCATTTCTTTTGGGTTGAGACTACCTTGGAGATTATATGGAAGGTGGATTTTTTTTTTTAATACATTCATGCTAATCACCTGAAGGTGAGTATTTAAAAATCTGTTGATTAAAAACTGGCTTATATAGTACACAAAAACTGCCCTTTCTGATGTTTCTTCAAATGGATGGAAGGTCTTGGCATGATGAATCCAACCTAGTGGGATCATAGTATGTGGTAGGGGATACCTTGAGAGACTTAAAAAAAAAAAAGATTTTATAACCTGTAGGATATGGGATCGGAAAAAAATAATAATCTTCTTCTTATAAAATTTACCTTATAATTTGCTGGAAATTTCTTAACTGCTAAGTTTTGCCCTACGGGTTTTATTTTTGGCCACTAAAATTACTGCTAGAAATGTGCTGGTCTGACAAAGTTTTGACAAATGTAAGGTTTAAAGTAAGTAAAGGAAAAAGATTATATTAAATTCAGATTTGCTAGATGGCCATGTTTTTCTCCAGTTTTAGGGATATGAGGTCTGTCTGTCCCAAACCCTGTGTGTGTATGTGGAAGAGAATTTTGTCCTCTTAACAAAAGTCCTTCTACAATAATGGCCTATGGCTTACTGATTTGGAAAGAGGAGAGAGAAAATTTTGTCCACAATCAACAAAATAACATCACTCGGCCAGGAGCCTGTCACACACAGTCTTTGAGAACCTTTGGGGCACCTCCTCCACTCCCCTCACATAGAAAGGCACATGGTGTGTGGGGTTATTGAAGACAAGATTGTGGGCATATGCTGACCGTCCTTAGGGATACTCAAAAATTCCATGGCAGCATTCGTGAGGTTCATCTTCTGATTGATCAACTGTTCATGGGCTGCCAATTTATAACAGACCTCAAGGACCAAAACACTTGAGGCTGCAGCCTAGATCATGGGGTTTAATCCTACACCCTCTTCCGGATCCTACCTACTGCTCTATGGTTACTACTCCTGGGAGGATGGGTCAAGTCTGAGCGTCCGTGCCATGCTTGCAACCGAGTGTTACACACGCTCTTCTTTACGGAGTTTCTTGTCTCTCTCAGAAGTTGTGAAACTGAAGCCGTGGGAGAAAGTTAAAAAATAACCCTCCAAGGCATTTCAAAAAGAAGAGCTATCTCACTCCTGAAATCCAGGAATCCGGGGATGGGGATATTTTCATCATTTTCTCTCCCCATGTTCAGATAGCACTGTAAGCACTCAAATGTTTGTGAAGGAAAGATTAAAAGGAGAGGAAAAAATCTGGAAACAAATTATTTTTTTTTCTTGTTCTTCCATAGACCAGACCCATTTTAAGGGATTTACCCTGTGACAAAGACCAGATTTTAAGACCTTCCTTCAACATTTTGATATATCTTGGTCTGAACGTTTTATTTTAGAGAAATGTGAAGGAATTTTAAAAATGAAGCTTGATATAAAGGAATACTGTCTCTGAAGTTAAGAAATTGTCTTTTAATTTTGTCGGTGTCGAGTTCTGTTTTTCCACTTGTAAATACCTCTCTGTCATTCCAACTGAGGCTGTGCCAGGGTAAGAGTGGAGAGATTTCAGGAATTAGTACTAATTTAGGGGTCTTTGACTTTTGGAAATTGGCAGTAGTTAGAAGCAGTTGGGGGCTCAGCTTTTGAAGTCAGATAATCCAGCTGACCCACTTTACCACTTAGAGGCTTTGTGACTTGCATGTTATTTATCTCTCTGCTCCCCAGTTATCTACAAAATGAGGGTAATAATAGAATTGACTTCATAGGCTTATGGGGATTAAAGGAGATAATGTTTGTAAGGCCCCTTAGTATCGTCTACCACACAGCACTTAAAAGATACTGACTTTTGTTGGAACACTCTAGTAGTAGTGTTTACACCATCTTAACCTCTAGTAAATAAGACATTCAGAACTGGTCTACAGAAAATCGCTCATTCTTTTGTCCATAGGCAGCAAAATAATGCCTCTGTCACACAGTCAGAGGGCTGCTGTGCCGTGTGTGACCCGGAAGTGTGATTTTTGCTGGGACAAATCAGTTGCTCAGCAGTGTTAGCTCAGTCAGAACTCTTAAGCGGTAACAGCCTGTCTGACTGGACACATCCAGAATCACAGTATCGTGACACCGGCTTGACTTATTGCCAACATGTCTTCTCTCTTACTCCCCCCGCTCCAGCTTTCTTCAGCAAAATGATGTAAGAAAACAAAATCTGAGCATTTGCCCATCTCCTGTTTGGCTGAATGACTTTTGCCCCTCATCCCCAGTTTGGAGTTGTACCCCCAAACTTATTTCTGTGTTTCATATGGTTGGAAGAATAGGAGTCATGTAGAATGGTACCCATTTTGAAAATGTTCATGAGAATGAATATGAAGTGAAAAGATTGGGTATTGCCTTTGCAGAAGCTGAAAAGGCCCGTCCGTGGACGCCTTTTCCAACTAATGCTGTGGTGGGCTGGGGGTAATTAGGGAAAGAGAACCCATGGGAGGGACAAGGGGGCTGGAAGGTGATGTTTAGGCTTGG